TTCTTATAGCTTAAACTAATCCATTTCCATAAGTCTATACCTTGCCACGTGGCTGGTGGCTTGCTGGCATCTTCACATGCTGCTGGTCATGGCGGCGGCTGCAGTGTCTCTCTGCCTCAGCCTTCTGCTTCCCACAATTCTCTCTCCTTGTCCCACCTACTTCCTGCCTGGCCACTGGCCAATCAGTGTTTTATTTATTGACCAATCAGAGCAATTTGACATACAGACCGTCCCACAGCACCAATCAACTGTCTCACCTATTCAGAGGGCCTGATCCAGTTGGGGGCCCCACAGCCTTTGGTTCATAGTTCATGTGTTTCCATTCGTTTGGTTATTTGTCCCTGTGCTTTATCCAACCTTGGTTTCAACAATTCTCGCTCATATAAACCCTCCTCTTTCTCACTAATTAGATTCCCAGTACTCCACATGGGGCCTTGCCGTGGATGTCTGCATCCAGATTCCTCAGTCCTTGAATGGAGTTTCTGGCACAACTATTAGGGTGTTTGCATGCAGCTTTTTCAATGTATACTTTGTATTTAACTTCTCTACTGGGGCCACCAAGTACAACTCCAATTAAAAAAAAATTAACCGTCACCAAAGAACAGCATGGTTTTTATAGTCCAAGTGGTCATTTGGAGTGCTTGACCCTTAGAAACTGTCCTTCCTTTGAATTTATAGGAGAAGCTCATAGTTGACACCAGTTTTGGGTCAAAAATCTGTGTCCAGACTGGACAAATAAACAAAGGGGGAACCTACTGCTATATTCTGCTAAATGACTATTGCATTAAACTGATTCCTAATGACTAATAGCTATACCAATAGCTTAAAGAATCTCAAGTCTCACCAAGAATATTTTGGAGTAGATAGTGATTAGTGTAGAGTCCCACAACTGGCTCAGGAACAGAGCATAAACAATGCTAAGTCATAAATGGGACATCTACATCACATACCATCCCTCCAAGCCTCAGGTTATTGCTGAAAAAAGCTAGCAAGAGCTAGAGGTGGTAGATAACTACAAGGAACCTGTGTGCTTCATGTGCACCCAGGCATCTGTACTATGACTCTCATGGATTGTGACAGATTGTGACAGCAAGGTCAAGCCAGAACAAATCTCAGCATGGAGAGGAGAGGTGAACTTGGAGTCCCACCCCTAGCTGGGGAGTTATTAGTAATTGATATTGTTGGGAGAAGAGCCAGATCTTTTATAAGAATATTGCTTGTGATAAGTCTACCACACTCCAGTGGAAGGCTACATATCCAAGAATATCTGGGCAGCTCACATTGAACTGGAAGGGTGGGGGGAAAGGACACAAAGTTGGGTGGCTAATGAGCAGAGGTGAATCTGAGCAGTTAGGAGAGAGGTTTAATATAATTCAAACATAGGATACCAACTTCTCAAATAATAAGACTTTAAGGAAGACTACATGGGCTCAGTGGTTAAGAGCAATGACTGCTTTTCCTGAGGACATGGATTCAATTCTCAGTACCACCATGGTGATTCTAGTTCTGGCCTCATGATCACCAGACATGCAGGTAGTGCAGAGGTGTACATGTAGGCAAAACAATCTGTGTGTGTGTGTGCATGCATGAGCATGTGCACAAGTGTGTGTGTGTGTGTGTGTGTGTGTGTGTGTGTGTGTGTGATTGTTGATTTATTTGTTTGTTTGTATATTTTTTGAGAATGGGTTTTTCATATAAACCTAGAACTGTTGGCTGTCCTAGAACTGTCTCTGTAGCCCAGGCTGTATTGAAACTCAGAGATCCACCTGCATCTGCCCTTGGAGTGCTAGGGTTAAAAGTGTGTACTACCACATCTGGCTACTGTTTTATTTATTTTGTCATTTATATTTTATTTTTGCATAAAATAACTTTTTCCTTTTTTGTTTTTGGAGACAAGTTTTCTCTGTGTAGCCTTGTCTGTCATGGAACTCATTCTGTAATACAACCTGGTCTTGAAGTCACAGAGATCCCCTTTTATCTGCCTCCAGAGTGCTGGGATTAAAGGAGTGAGCCACCACTTCCAGGCTACATGAAATAATTTTTTAAAGAGTTAAAAAAGAAAAAGTTAAAGTTAGCGAGGCAAGATGGCACACACCTTTAATACCAGTACTCAGGAGGCAGATGCAAGTATGTTTCTATGAGTTCAAGGCTAGCAAGGCCTACTTAGAGGATTTGAGGATATGCAGAGCTACATAGTGAGAGTCTGTCTCAAGTATACAAGTCAACAATCATGAAGAAGAAGCAGTAAAGGAATAGAAAGAAATAAAAAAGACAGTAATAAACAAAGAAATAAAATTTTCACTCCAATCCCTGGCCTGAAGTGTTGGCTCTGCAGTTAAGAGCTCTGGTTGCTGTTCCAGAGGACCCAGATAGATTCCCAGCACCCACATGGCTCTCAGACATCTGTAATCCAGTCCCCGTTTCCTAATCCATCTTCTAGCTTCTGAATGCACCAAGCACGCATGTGGCACACACACATGCATGCCGAGAAAACACTCATGCAGCATGGAGAAATAAATAAGATTTAAAAATAGGGACCCAAAATGAAATTTTAAAAAGGTAGGCTTGGAGAGGGATTAGAATACCTTATAAAGATGTTTTTATAAAATAAAAACTACAGTATGGAAGTTAATGAGGCAATATGCCTTTAAATTCTAGATATGCAGAGACTGCAATTAAGTGCTATCCGAGGCAAAAAGAGGGTGTTTGAAGTGAACCTTGGAAAGGGCATGTCACCATGAACCCACTTGATCTCATCCAAGGTGAACATTGGTTTCTACCCAGGATTGTTTTGAATCCAAGTATTGGCAGGAGCTTCAAACTGCTTCAGTTCCTATAATTTTCTCCCTTTGAACAGTCAGTGTTCTTTTAACCCTTGCAAGCAATGTTTTCTTTTGGCCAGTGTTGCTTTTATAGCCAGATCCTGTAACTTGGGCACACTGGCATAAGGTTTCCACATCCATGGAACTCTCTTGGCCAGCTCCAGCTCTCTTCCTTATTTCATGCATTTCTAGCATCAGTTTGGTTGTGTTTTCCCGGGGTTAAGACACAGGGGTCACATTCTCTCCTGGGTTCAGAAGGAGCAAGGGCTTGTGACTGACCAGCTTTCTCATCTCTCCTTTTGTTGGACACTCTGCACTATTGCAGTTACTCTTCCTTTCTGTCCTTGTCCACGACGGATGCTCCCCTCCCGGGGTAACCTGATCATAATTCTTTTCCCAACCTTTTTATTGTGGTGATATTTTGTATATGCTCTAACAAATAAAGCTTGGCTGGAGATCAGAGTGCGGAGCTAGCCACTAGTTAACCATAGAGGCCAGGCAGTGGTGGCAAACACCTTTAATTCCAGCACTTGGGAAGAGGAAATAGAAGCATCAGGAGTTCAAGGCCACCCTGGGCTACATGAGATTTATTCTTTCTAAAAGAGAAACAGATCCAGGTGGTGGAAGCACATATCTTTAATTCCAACACTACTAAGAAGGAGACATTAATACAAGGGGGGAGGAGACAGGAGCTCAGCCATTCAGTTTGAGGATTTGGTAGAGGTGAGCAGTCTCTCTAGTGTCTGATTCCTTTACCTCTCTGACCTTTCAGCATTTACCCCGATATCTGACCTTAGGTTTTTATTATTAAGACTAATTAGAATTCACGCTACCCTTTTGTAAAGTATAGTCTACTTTACAAGTGTGACAGGTGTCCCAGGGCTCACTTCATCTTCACTAACTAGGGTTTCTGCTGCTTCTGAACTCTGAGCTTTGAACTGTTTATGGTAGAAGGGCTCAGCTCTGCATTGGTGGTAAGATGGTTTCTAGTTTCAGTGTGTGTGTGCTTCTCATTCAGGATTTCCTTCTCGTAGTTGATAAAATTGTGTAGCTGCAAGTTTTCCTGTGTCCCACGTGGCCCGCAGCAGCTCATAAAATAATCACTCACTTTACAATCTGTTTGGTCTATGGCTCAGGCTTCTTGCTAGCTAGCTTTTTCATCTTAAATTTACCCGTTTCTATTGTATATGTATGTATCACCATGTGTCTTGTGGCTTTACCTGTGTTCCATTATATCTTGTTCCACTGGTGGCTCTCAGTGTATCTCTGACTCTGTCTTTTTTCTCCTTGAATCTTTCTTGGATTTCCCACTTGGCTATAACCTTTCTTGCCACAGGACGGAGCAGCTACAATATGGTAGCAACACATAATTAAAGCATACAGAAAGACCATCCCACAGCAAAATGTGTTAATTTCACCTGGTGCTCCAGTCGGGTTAAGCTTACATTTGAACAGAAGACCTCTTGTCTCTTCTGAAATTGAATGCTTACCATTACAGGAGTCCATTTCAGAATGTGTGGATATTTTATTGCAGGGTTAGGGTGGCAATGACATAGATATTTTTGTAATTCTGCACTGCACAAAGCATTTTTCACCTATAACATATGGAGCCACATCATGTGCTAGATAGAGTTTTCTTTTGTCTTGCTCTTATCTGGAGACTTGTAGTTAACTCTGCTGTCTATAAAGTGATAACTATTGTTTTCACTCTTTGCTATTAGAACTTCAAAACTAATTATAGGAACTCTTTTACATCACACAGATAATCTATGTCTTATGTTCTGGGTCATGAGATAGAATACCCTGGTTTTTCATAATAAACTCATGTCAACTGCAAACAGAAATCACACTATGCCTTGAAGCATTCTTCCCATTTCTTGAATAGCACTAAGTTATATTGGAATCATATATGATCTCAGATTAGAATAGTCTTGTTCTTACATTTAGAATTTTATCCTACCCATGAGAAACTTAAAGTACATACCCAAATTATAGAATTCAATTCAAAACCATTCATTGAGTGTCCCATTGTGCTATGAAGTGGAGATACATGAAGAAGACACAGTTTCTGTCCAGGATGAACCTAATATAAGGTGGGTGTGAGCTGTTACTAAAAGTAGAAATGAGTAATACAGCTTTTCAAGATGCTATGACTTGAGTGCCATTGGCTGTTTTATTCCTGATGTTTAGGATTCCTGGATTTTTATGAATTGGAACAGAAATGAAATTTGATGGTGGTATAATGACACATGGCTATATCTGAACAATAACTGATATGACCTCAAAATAATGTTGGAGTTGTGTGACTCCCAGATTCATTCTTAATGAGTTTCCTTATTCAGTGCAGGACCATCATGGTGTAGAAAGGCTCAGCCTAATGTGGAGAGGACTGAGGGAGACAAGCTCCCTCTCATTCTCCCAGGGTAGATTCTTGAGCAGGGAGAAATGAGGAATTTGTACATATAAGTATAGAGAATAGATAGATAGTTAGAAAACACAGGAGGGCCTTGGGAGGGCCTGGGTCTGAACCCACCAGACCCTTCTATCTCTACTAAAGGGTTTTTAAAAGGAATGCCAAGAGGTGGAGCAAAAGAGCTCCCCCCAGCCCAGCCAAGTGCAGTCCATTCCAGATGCCTGGTGACCATGCACATGGATCAGCCATTCCCTAATGCAGCCCTGCTGTGTAAAGCAAGCTCAGATCTCACTGGGAAACCTCTGTGGGCCCCCACAGAGGACCACAGGGATGGCCTCTCCTATATCAGGTCATCTCGATCTGCTGTGGATAAGACCACAAGAATGGTCCAGTAAATCAAGACTCAAATACCAGGGGATGGGTTATGGGGGAAAGCTGGGGCGTGGGAGGAGGGAGGAAAGGGGGATCTGTGGTTGGTATGTAAAATGAATAGAAAATTTCTTAACAATAATAATAAAAGATCAAGAAAAAGAGAATCAAAATCCACTCTCACAGACTTGCCTGTAGGCCAGAATTTCCTCACATCTGACTCTAGGCTTTGTCAAGTTAGCACCTGGAGCTAACTAGATGGATCACTAAATATTTTCTAATTGGATTTGAACCACACTCTACTGGGAAGAACCTGACACTATAAACCTGATTAAAGGTCCAGGAAATCCTAGCTTAGATCCTACTATTGCTATTTTGCTAAATGGTCATGTTGGCAAATTACCTTCTAAATGTCTATTGTAACAGCCATAGTCATATATCTGGCTTGTCTTAGCCTTCATCAAAGAAGCTTTTGTTGTAATGGACACCATTCAACTCAGAGACTTCCACCTGCTCAAAGGGCTGAGAATTATGAAGTCCATGTCAAGGCACAGGCACTACTGCAGAAGAACGTGCAAAGAATGCAAGAGCCCGATGATGAAGAAAAATGTTAGGGAACACTTTCTTCTGGACATGCCATGGCTTTTGCCTTCATAAACTCAAAGAATCTATCAGCTGCACAGGACTTGAATAAGATCAGGTAGACCAATTTTCATAATAAATGGCGATCATATCTTAATACTCCTCCCATAAATAAAGAGCTTTCAGCAGTCATAGATTCTAGGAGGTGATGAATCATTGCTGTGGGGGTTGAGTGGACACTGGTACATTGGTCATGATGCAGCCCTGTCTTCCAATGAATGCATGCAGTCATCATCTATAGAAAGCACTAACTGGACTTACTGGGTTATTAAAAATTACAGGACAGAAAGTTTGTGATTTGGACATATTGGGTGAGATCCAGTGGGAAGCAGGAATGTGATCATGAGGGATCAATTTAATATTTCACTGAAGCAAGGTAAGAAATTCTAAAAGAAGAAATTAAGCAAAATAAACAAAACAAATTATGACTCTTTGCAGGACATTTCACATTGGGAAAATAATATGAGGTTAGTGATTTTGGGACTTAAAAATTGTGATATTCTTTTGCATGTATACTTTATAAGTGAGAGAAAATGGAACTTTTGACAGCTCACATCTACTACAAAAGGCTGAAATAAGAGTGACAGTGTCCAGGTCAGCTGTGACTAAGGGATAAGATGGAGAGCCTGTCTTGCTGTGATGCACTTGGGGAGGTTCATGTGTCCATCTTACCCACTTCACCTACTCCCTTTTCTTCTTCTCTCCAGCTTTAGAAAACTTCTGGCAACAAAAGAGGCAACACTTCATCATGATTAGCATCACAGTCAGCACACAGGTGAACAGGAATCCAAGCACATCCAGAGAGTGGTACTGGAACCAGGTGAGGTCATGTGCTGCCACACGAAGGTGCTTGGCTCCTTTGTGGCGCATGACATACTCAACCCAGAAGACGGCTCTGTCTAGGGGCTTCATTGGTTGATCATGGTGGATTCTTGATAGCCGCATGGCATTTTCCTTATAGCTAAAGATACCAACATCAAAAACAAATGATTTACTCAAGTGCTTCAAACCTAAGACAGGTTCAAGGAAAGCATCATGAGTTTCTATAAATGCCATAGATTCGCACTACGTACAGTGTGGTTTGATTAGGATATTTTTGAAAGATTTCCTGTAAGCTTGCATTTTCTGAGAAATTCTTTCCAAAACTGAAATGGCAAATCATTTGGGTAGAAAACCTTTCCAGCAGAGCAAATGTTCATAAGCCTTTTCTAGCACTGTAAGTGAGGTGGTTCTTAGAGAGAAAGCATGGCCACATTGATTCTCTTGAGAAGAAAATGTGTCATGATTCTTTGTAATCTCAATAAAAACACTATTGATGATTAAAAATTGGGAACTGGTGAGCATGGGCATACTTTGCACAAGATGATTTGAGGGCTTGGATGCAGCTCATTGATAACTTGCTTAGAAACTATTTCGATCATCAAATTATTATTAACTAACCTCTCATACACCAGGTCTGTAGGGATAGTTTGCAGTCTTGATTGACAGTAAAAGCCTATTCCACAGTGCTTAAATGGGTTTTATATGGTTGTTTATGTTTTCAAACTTAGACTAATGTGCTAGGAGATGTCTTTCTGTATGCTTTGAATATATGTTCCCATATTGGTTGATAAATAAAGCTGTACTGGTCTATGGCAAGGCAGCTTAGATGCAGGCAGGAAATACAAGCAGATAGATAGGAAGAAGAAAGGAGAGGAGAGAGAGACACCAGCCTGCTGCCCAAGGAACAACATGCCAGGAGACTGGTAAGCCACAGAATACGTGATACAACATAGATTAATAGACATGGGTTAATTTAAGATATAAGAGCTAGCTAGCAAGAGGCCTGCAATAGACTATGCAGTTTGTAAGTAATGCAATCTGTGTGTTTACTTGTCCAAGAAGCTGCGAGAGAGTTGAGACACAAGAAAACTTCTGACTACACTAAAGATCAGATGAATTCTACTCTTACCTTGGAGAAAACCTATCTGGACCAGTGCCACTTGTACAAAATCACTGTACTTACGAAGGGTCATTTGTGACTGTCTTCACTGCATCAACCAAATCTGTACTGGACATTGTGAGAAAATCCAGTCTAACACCTGCTCCTTTGGTCTTCATACGAACAACATTATCATATTGGTCTCCAAACAAAGGAATGCCAACCACAGGGATCCCATGGTAGATCGCCTCATAGATGCCATTGGTGCCACCATGAGTTATAAAAGCTCTGGTTTTAGGATGACCTAGGAAGGGTAGAAATTAAAGGCAAGTATTAATCATGACTCTGAGAAAGAAAATGAGAGGCAGGAAAAATGGCACAGAAAGGGTTAATACTCATTAGATAACATTATCATAACCTCGGGACTGCACTGAATTCCTCCCATGTCTTAGAGCAAGGAACAGTGCAAGTCCACAGAGATTAAGTGAAGGCCACATAGAGGAGGTGCAGTGTGGAAGCAGAATGATTTTGGGCAATGGACAAAAAGGTCATAGCTCCTCTCAAGTGCAGCAAACAGCTTGTGCAAGCACAGGCTGTGGTTCAGGAGAGGGTGCTCTCTTAATGGAACAGTGAAGCCACTGCTTATGGTAGGTTGCCTCTGTATAGTATGGGGTTGGTTGATAGTACTGATGGAATGAGAATTAGGACAAGCAATGCTTCCCAAAATAAAGGACTGCCTCATGATGTGGAGTTTTGGGGGAGTTAGTAACTGAAGAGTCATTAATGAAAGAATACCATTCTCACTGGCATTTGAAATTGACCTAACATAGGGGAAAGGGTGAATGTAAAGGTATAGAAATAGGAGGTGAACACAAACATGAAGAAGTGTCTTAAGTGTATCTGAAAGATAATTACAGTGGAGATAAAAATGGATTCTCAAATCTACAATGTTACTGTACAGAATACTCACATCAATTGTTTACCCATTTTCTCCAGAAGTAGATCACAGTTGTCCTAAATACCTTAGTGTTGACATTCACCTTCCTGAGCAGTCATTCCTCATGTCTCAAGGATCTTCTCATGCTTACCAAGAAGGTCATTCTGGGGAATCCATTTGTACAGCCGAGTGTTGGGGCCCAAGGTGTCTGGTTTCTTGCTTTCAAATCGCCAAAGAACCTGTTAAGAGGAAGCTAGCCTCTTATTACTTTGCTTAAATGCAAGTTACTCTTGTTAGAATTCTGGATAGATTAAGAATCAGTGGAGATAAATGCCCAGTCTTGAGGAGCCAAGAGGTGAGGATGGATGATGGGAACCGTGAAGAACTACTGCAGCAAGGATGCAACACTCTTCACTCTCCTGCATTTATTCTCATGCTTATCCAGGTGTCAGCATGCCACCTTAACATTTAACCAACAGCAACTTAGACAAAGGTAGGTTCAGTAATATCAACCAGGAGTTAAGAAATGAGTCAAGCCGGGCGGTGGTGGTGCACGCCTTTATACCCAGCACTGGGGAGGCAGAGGTGGTGGATCTCTGTGAGTTCGAGGCCAGCCTGGGCTACCAAGTGAGTCCCAGGAAAGGTGCAAAGCTACACAGAGAAACCCTGTCTCGAAAAACCAAAAAAAGAAAAAAGAAAAAAAAAAAAAAGAAATGAGTCAAAGCTGGAGAGATGGCTCAGTGTTTAAGAACACTGGCTGCTCTTCCAGAGCAGTATCAATTCAGTATCAAATCCCAGCAGCCACATGGCAGCTCACTACTATCTGTGTGTAACTCAAGGTCCATGGGAGCAGACACCCTCACACAAACATACATGCACACCAAACACCAATGCACGTTTAAAAAAATGTGTGATTGTAATTGCAGTTCAACAATCCAACTAAGTTACTAAATACACATTGATTTTTCCAATATTTATTTATAAAAATTTTCCTTTCCAAATTCAATATAAATATTTTTCAATGATATTTGATTTAAATCCCTTATCATCACTTTTATCATAGGTATTTTTTTTAGATTAGGTCCCTGGAATATGACATTGTTTATGCATGTGGTCACTTCAAGAGCAAGTGCCCAAGTTACCTTCTATTTCACCATAAAGCTACAGTCTCCCAGGTGGACTTAGGGTTGGTAAATCCTAGCCTACCTATTGTTTTGAATATCAAGGAAAACATTTCCATGCATAAGCCCATTGGAATATAGAGGTGGTCACATTTGGCCAAGACCACAAAGGAATATTATGCTATTATACAAACTCTATTTTTTAAAAATTTATATTTGTTCTTTTTCTATATTCTTTTTATTGAAAATAAATTTTTTCATACAATATGTTCTGATTATATTTTTCCCTCTCCTACTTCCTCCCCCTCCATCCATATCCACACACATTCTTTCTCTCCCTTTAGAAAACAGGCATCTAAAAAATAATAAGAAGAAAATAAGATAAAAGATAAACAAATACACAAGAATAGCACAAGTTCCATTTTTAAAATAATGACTTATTATTATTATTTATGTGTAAGGCAGTATGTCTGCATGTGTGAGTGTGTATGTGTGGTAGTTTGCATAGGTATGGCCCCATGGACTCAGGTGTTTCAATGCTTGGCCTATAGGGAGTGGCACTATTTGGAAGTGTGATATTGTTGGAGGAAATGTGCCACTGTGGGGGCAGGCTTTGAAGGCTCATATGCTCAACCTATGCCGAGTATGGCACACAGTCTCCTAATGCTGGCTGTGAAGAAAGATGTAGAACTCTGCCCTTTTTCCAGCACCATGTCTACCTGCATGCCACTGGCCATGATGATAATAGACTAAATGTCTGAAATGATAAGCCAGCCCCAGTTAGGTGTTTTCTTTATAAGAATTGCTGTGGTCATAAGTAAGTTCAGGTCCTCTGGGTGAGCAACACATGCTCTTCAGGAATGAGGCTCTTCTGCACTCCCACAACTGCAAATTTTTGATTGCTTTCTTATGCTAATGGGCCAGTGTGCATACTGATTATATTTTAAATGCTGTATATTTATACTGTAGTGTGTGGACAGTCCTTAAATATCCTCCAAGATAATGGAGGAAGTAAGAAGGCACATTTTTGTGCCTATAATATCTTCCTAATATCAAGTTCACAAATACTGGTTAAGTGTTCTTCTTTCTGAACACATGTTTATAACAAAGTTATTAATCAAAAACACCACAAACTATTTGGCATCTGTTCCTTGTAATTTGGTGTCTTAAGTGACTTCAAAGATGAGCTAGAGCTATCAAGACAGCATCAGTTTCTCACTGAAGATAGAAGTTTCTGCCATCACACCTGAACTGGATATGACAGTCTTAGTGAGGATGCAACACTGAGACACTGTATCTCACCTTCTGTGGAATCTGGGCAAGGCCTGCTGCAATCATATTGGCCCTTTCTTCTGTTAGGGTACCCACCATAGACCCCAGGGAAAACACCACAACACCATGTTCTCCAGATGATTGGACAAAGTCTTCTATTTCCTGTTAATGGAATATCAGTTCATCACAAACAGCAGGAACACCAAATAACCTGCATAAAAACTGATACCAACATCCACAGGAAGAAACTGAACAGCATTAGAAATGATTAGAACACTGGATGTTTTAAAACTATTCACTGCAATCTACATGCCCTGCCCCCATACCCACCCACCTGAGACCCCAGCCACTTCCTGAGGCTTGGAAACTAACCCCCAGCTCTCATCCAGCCTAGAGGTGAGTGACTCTGTTCATACCCAGTGAGGCCTGCCCATAGGACCCATCCCTAGGCCCCAGCCATTCCCTGGGAACACCTTCCCAACTGGACCCCAGTTGCCAGACAGTAGGCAGGGGTCCTGCGGGAAGGCTCCCCCTTCACCAAGATCCATCAGTGGACCCTGCAATCTACATGCCCTGCCCCTATACCCATGTGCTCAAGACCCCAGTTAATTGCTGAGGCTTGGAAACCAACCCTAAGTTCTCATCGGGCCTAGAGAGAGAGCTCTCATTGGACAAAGAGCTGTCATTGGACCAAGAGTAACCTTAGCAGAAAGGGAATCTGCCAGCCCTCATTAGACCAAGAGTGGCGTTCTGAGAAGTAGAATCTGCCACCTCTTATTGGACCAAGAAAGGCTTCCTGAAACATAGAATCTGTCAGCTCTGACTGGACCAAGAGCCCTGATAAGACCAAGAACAGATCCATGAGTCACAGAATCAACTAGCTTGGGTTGATCCCTGAGACACAGAATCTGCCTGCTCCAATTAGACCAAGAGCTAAGATGGGACCCAGATGGGCCCCCTGAGACACAGACACAACAAGCACAGAGTGGACCAACAGCAACTCACTCAGTCACAGGCACCTCTTATGGGCAAACTTCAAGGCAGAAGTACATACAACAACATAAAGAGCAATACAATGTCACAAGAACCTAGCCCTCCTCCAACAGCAAGTCCTGAACATCACAAGGTAGAAGAAGCAGAAGAAAGTAACCTTAAGAATAAATTCATGAAGATGCTAGAGGCCCCTCAAGAAAAAATAAAAAATGAAATTGAGGAAAAGACAAACAAAATAGTGGAAGAAATCTATAAAGAAATAGAGGAAAATACAAAAAATTGGAAGAAAGCAATAAATCCCTTAAAGAAAACCATGAAAAAGCAATTAAACAGGTGAGGGAAACAGTTCAAGACCTGAAAAGGGAAATAGAAACAATGAAGAAGACACAAACAGAGGGAAGGCTGGAAATAGAAAATCTGAGAAAAGGAACAGGAAACACAGATGCAAGCATAACCAACAGAATACAAGAGATGGAAGAGAGGATATCTGATGTAGAGAAAACAATAGAGGAAATGGATTCATCAGTCAAAGAAAATACCAAAGCCAAAGAAGTCGTAACAAAAAATGTCCAAAAATCTGGGACACCATGAAAAGACCAAACCCAAGAATAATAGGGATAGAGGAAGGAGAAGAATACTAACTCAAAGGCACAAAAAATATATTCAACAAAATCATAGAAGAAAACTTTCCCAACTTAAAGAAGGAAATGCCTATAAAGATACAAGAAGCCTATAGAACACTAAATAGACTAGACCCCCCCAAAAAGTCCCCTCATCACATAATAATTAAACAACTAAACCTACAGAATAAAGAAAAAAATATTAAGAGCAGCAAAGGAAAAAGGCCAAGTGACTTATAAAGGCAAACCCATCAGAATAACACCCGATTTCTCAAAGGAGACTTTGAAAGCCAGAAGGACCTGGAGAGATGTAATGCAGACACTAAGAGACCATGGATGCCAGCCTAGACTAATAAACCCAGCAAAAAATAGACAGAGTGAACAAGACGTTCCAAGACAAAACCAGATTTATACAATACCTACCTACAAATCCAGCCCTACAGAAAGTACTAGAAGGAAAATTCCAACCTAAAGATGTCAGATATACCCATGAAAACACAGGCAATAGATAACCCCACAGCAGTAAACCTAAAGAAGAGAGTACACACACACTACCACCAAATTAACAGGAACTAACAATCACTGGTCATTAATATTCCTTAATATCAAGGGACTTAATTCACCTATAAAAAGACACAGGCTAACAGAATGGTTACAAAAGCAGGACCCATCTTTCTGCTGCATACAAGAAACACACCTCAATTTCAAAGACAGGCACTACCTCAGAATAACAGGCTGGGAAATATCTTTTCAATCAAATGGTCTTAAGAAGCAAGCAGGTGTAACCATCCTAATATTCAGCAAAATAGACTTCAAGCTAAAATCAATCAAAAGAGATCAAGAAGGACATTACATACTCATCATAGGAAAAGATGCACCAAGATGAAGTTTCAATTCTGAACATTTATGCCCCAAACACAAGGGCACCCACATATGTAAAAGAAACATTACTAAAGCTTAAATTACACATAAAATCCCATACATTAATAGTGAGAGACTTCAACATCCAATTCTCACCAATGGAAAGATCTGGAAAATAGAAACTTAACAGAGAAATAAGGGGCTTAACTGATGTTATGATTCAAATGGACTTAATTGACATCTACAGAAAATTCTACCAAAACAAAAAAGAATATACCTGTTCTCAGCACCCGATGGATCCTTCTCTAAAATCAACCACATACTCGGCCACAAAGCAAATCTCAACAGATACAAAAAAATACAAAAAAAGAATAACCTCCTGTGTTTTATCAGACCATCGAGGCATAAAGTTAGATTTCAACAACAACAAAAGTTACAGAAAGCCTACAATCTCATGGAAACTTAATAATGCTCAACTGAATCACCAATGGGTCAGAAGAAATGAAGAAAGAAATTAAAGACTTCCTAGAGATCAATGAAAATGAATACACCACATACCCAAACTTATGGGATGCTATGAAAGCAGTGCTAAGAGGAAAATTCATAGCACTAAATGCCTACATAAAGAAGTAAATGGAGAGAAACTCAAAGCGATTCTACTAAAATCAGGAACAAGACAAGGCTGTCTACTTTCCCCATACTTATTCAATATAGTACTTGAAGTTCTAGCCAGAGTAATAAGACAAAATAAGTAGATCAAGGAGATACAAATTGGAAAGGAAGAAGTGAAGTTTTCACTATTTGCAGATGACATGATAGTATACATAAGTGACCCCAAAAATTCAACCAAGGAACTTATACAGCTCATAAACACCTTCAGCAATATAGGAGGATACAAGATTAACTCAAAAAAATCAGTAGCCCTCCTATATACAAATGATAAACAGACTGAGAGAGAAATCAGAGATACATCACTTTTACAATAGCCACAAATGGTATACAATATCTTGGGGGTAAATCTAACTAAACAAGTGAAGGATCTGTATGATAATAACTTTAAGTCCCTGAAGAAAGAAACTGAAGAAGATATCAGAAAATGGAAAGATCTCCCATGCTCATGGATAGGTAGGATTAACATAGTAAAAATGGCAATCTTACCAAAAGCAATCTACAGATTCAATGCAATCTCCATCAAAATCCCAACACAATTCTTCACAGACCTGGAAAGAACAATGCTCAACTTCATATGGAAAAATAAAACCCCGGAATAGCCAAAAGAATCCTGTACAATAAAACAACCTTGGGAAGCATCACAATCCATGAATTCAAGCTCTACTATAGAGCTACAGTAACAAAAACAGCATGGTACTGGCATAAAAACTGACATGTGGACCAATGGAACCGAACTGAAGATTCTGACATTAATCCCACCTATGAACATACAATTTTCGACAAAGAAGCCAAAAGTATACAATGGAAAATAGAAAGCATCTTCAACAAATGGTGCTGGCACAACTGGATGTCAGCATGTAGAAGAATGCAAACAGATTCATATCTGTCACCATGGACAAAACTTAAGTCCAAATGAATCAAAGACCTTGATATAAATCCAGTTACTCTGAACTGGATAGAAGAGAAAGTAGGAAGTAGTTTTGAATGCATTGGCACAGAAGATCACTTCTTAAATATAACACCAGTAGCACAGGCACTGAGAGCAACAATGAATAAATGGGACGTCTTGAAACTGAGAAGCGTTTGTAGGGCAAAGGACATGGTCAACAAGACAAAATGACAGCCTACAGAATGGGAAAAGATCTTCACCAACCCCACACCTGACAGAAGGCTGATATCCAGAACATATAAAGAACTCATGAAATTAGACATCAAAATGCCCAACAGTCCAATTGAAAAATGGGCTATAGAGCTAAACAGCTACTTCTCAACAGAAGAATCTCAAATGGCTGAAAGACATTTAAGGAATTGCTCAACATCCTTAGTCATCAGGGAAATGCAAATCAAAATGACTCTGAGATATCATCTTACATCTGGCAGAATGGCTAAGTTCAAAAATACTGAAGACAGCTTATGTTAGAGAGATGTGGAGCAAGGGGAACACTCCTACACTATTGGTGGGAATGCAAGCTTGTACAGCCATTTTGGAAATCAATATGGTGCTTTCTTAGAAGATTGGGAATCAATGCACCACAAGACACAGCTATACCACTCTTGTGCATATACCAAGGAATGTTCAATCTTACCACAAGGACACATGCTCAACTATGTTCATATCAGCATTATTTTTAATAGCCAGAACCTGAAAACCACCTAGATGACCTTCAACTGAAAAATGGATAAATAAAATTTGGTACATATACACAATGGAGTACTACACAGCAGAGAAACAATGACATCATGAGGTTTGCAGGCAAATGGATGGAACTAGAAAATTTCATCCTAAGTGAGGTAACCCAACACAGAAAGACAAACATGGTATGTAATCACTTATAAGTGGATACTAGATGTAAACCAAAGGATAACCAGACTGCAACTCACAACTCCAGGGAGGCTACCTAGTAAAGAAGACCCTAAGTAAGATACAGGGACTGGCCCAGCGATGGAGAAATGGATGAGATCTACATGAGCAAACTGGGGGTAATGGGGGGGTAATGGAGGGCAAGGGTCAGGGAA